TGGTCAACCGAGAAGCCCCAAACCTGTGACTACTGCCCACCACAAAGGAACTAGACCCCTGCAATATGTGCCCTTGGGTTCCAACTCCAGGTCAAGCCACCTACTGTGACGTCATTACAAAACCACTGCTGATGGAACTGATAACATTTTATACGCTGTCAAAACCTGTGGAGAAATTTCTGGTAGGTGATTCTTCAAATACACATTTTAACACTAGGTTTTCTAAAAATAATGAACTATGCAAGCCAGTTTTGTGTGAGTTTGAATATAATGTTAAATGTAAGTTTCTACAATGACTTTTTTAAATAAAGGATACTTTTTCAATGACAAGAGTATTTCAAAAATATATATTAAATATCAAAAGATGTAAAATAGGATACAAAAGTATACGTACAATATGTTTCCAATGTTACAATCTGAGAGAAAATATTGAGGAAGATTCACTATGATTTTAACAGTGATTATGGTGTGGTCAGGGGTTTAAATCCACCAGTCACAACTCTATGAGTTGGAACCAACTTGACAGCACATAACAGAAACACCTCAAATTAGTTCTTAATGATTACTAATAATTATTTTTCATATTTCTATAAATATTTCATTGGCTATATTTTGTTATTTATTTAAAAGTTATAATCCACACATGTAAAAGTTGAGAAAATGCATAAATACATGTAAAGAAAAAAGTAACAGCAAGACGATGAGTTAATCAAGGAAGTTAAAGACATAAAACCGTGTTAGTTATTTCTATAAACCTCTCCAAAGTCCTTACACCAGGAGAGGTTGGGAATATGGATGGATGCATTAACAGGAGTTCTGGTGTGGTGCTGTAGGATAAGCACAGAACTGCAAGGTTGGTTTGAACCACAAGGTCATCAGTTCAAACTCACCAGCCGTTCCTTGAAAACCTTCTTCAGGGTAGCTATGAGTTGGAACTGACTCAATGGCACTTAACAACAACAGGACAGTGATACAGGACCATTTGAAAGCATTAGCCAATCCATATGGTAGTGTTGTTAAAGTACTGTCTAGTTGGTTCCTATGCATAGCGACCCTGTATAGGCTTTCTTAGGAGTGGATGGTGAGTTTGAACTGCCCCATGGTCCAGTACATTGTTCCACAGCACCACACCAGGACATATAGACATGGGTTTTTTGTGCTCTGAATTTAGTAAAAGGGTAAAATAGATGAATTTTTAAAAAGCATACAATTAGAGTTTGGGGCTTATTTGTTACATGGTCCCTTTGAGTTACCATCAGAAACCTGAAATTTCCTTCAAACCACAAATCTATTTTTTTCCTAAATATCCCGCAATGGTTTCACAACATGGTAGTTAAGATGTGTGAGTATCTTTGAGATTAAAGAATTCTATGGCCAAATTTATTTAGTACATCCTTTCTTAATGTAATAAATTATTTCGATTTTTTTTCCCCTGAAGTAAGAAGTTTTCTTTTTTTTTAGTGTTTGAATCCAAGTATTAGCTTAAAACACAAGTTAATTTCCTGTTGTTATAAGCAACGCCACCTAACTATACATAAGAATACTTTGTCTTTCTTTTCTGTCTTTTTTTGAGATGTCTTTTTTTTTTTTAAGTTTTTATTATGAATTATATGGTAGTTTACATGGGTGAACATTATCTTTATATTCATTCTATTGTATTTTGTTTCATTGCAATGATCACAATCCCCTGCATGCATCATCAAACAACCAAAAGGTACATACACTCCATGTGCCTCCCCCTGCCCGCCCCCCCTCAATAGCCACCAGCACACAGCTCCTCTCCCTCCCTGAGTCCAGCCGCTCCTTCTGTCCACGTCTTCCTCTTTGCCTCCATCCCTAGTGTCACTGCCTCCCT